GTGGGGTGTAAGTTAGACAATATCCATTATTGGCATCTTTCAAAAAATGACTTTTGACAGAGGAAGGGGGAAGGGAGAGAGAAGCAAGAATACTATGGRCTAGAAGACTCTAACAGAGAACTGAAAATCTTTACCTTCGATTGAGGAGGGGAGGGAAAACGGGGAGGGGCGAGAGGGATGGACGTAAAAATTMAATGAATAGACCTTTCCCGAATTCGTTTGACTGGTAACGAAACAATGGTTTCAAGTCGAGGTTGAACTTGATGAATAAAAGAATGAAGTTCAGTCTCGGATACAAACCATTGTTTCGTGGGGTCATCCAAGCGAATTTGGGAAAGGTCTATCGTGCAATAAAATGATTCCTGTTTTTTTAATATTCTAGTGTCGAGCTGCAGTATCAAAGAAGATCGTGGAACGTTTCGATATTGTCAGAGTACCACGAAACACCACCATTAATGACCTGGCCATCGAGATGGTTATCAACCTAAGCCTGACGTGTGGCACAGGTTTCTACAGCAGCAAATCCAATGAAAGCGTCTGGAAGGGTCGTAAGTTGGTCATCAGAGACAAAAATACTAATGCGTTTTATGACGATTTTTCTGGTGGTGCTGACCAAAAAAACACAGTCCGTCAAATGCTTGGACTTGATGAAGATAAAGTAGTTGACATCAATTCATCAGARTACCCAGAGCTAGAGATTTTCTTTGAGAGTTCTTCGCGTAACAAGATGTTGAAGGCAGGTTCTTTATTCGTTTACCAAGTGTTCCCTGGTACAACGTCCCAGTGTCAACGACTTCTCTTCAAAGCCGCGAAAGATGGCGAACTTGATGTTGTTCAGAAACTTGTAGCGTTTTTCCACTTGGACAAGACGTTCGTTGACTCTCGAGAACACAGTTCTGGTAACACTGCTCTTCATCTGGCCTGTCGSCATGGACACATCGATATYGTCACGTACCTCCTGGAAAATGGCGCCAAAGTGGACGCGTTGAACCATCATCTTAATACTCCATTCTTCCTGGGTACAGAAAGCCTACAGAAAGATATCTGCCAGTTATTAATCGAGTGGGGAACTGACGTGAACAAGAGAAACAGAAACAGCAAGACGGCATTTGAACTGATGCGCCATTACGAGTTGAGGACATTCTTAGAGCTCAAGTACAAAGAATGGTCTACGATTGTTCCCAAGCTGATTGCAGGTGATATGGATTGCTTGGCAGAGATCATTGCTGCGCATCATCGTAAAGAGAATATCATGGCTAGTCTCAAGAGTAGGTGCGTCAGTGGAAGTACTCTACTCCATACTGCTGCATTCTTTGGTAACATTCCAATAATCAAGTCTTTATTTGCTGAGGGTCTCCAAGTCAACCTGTTGGACTACAAAGGCGCTACGCCTTTACACCGAGCTAAGAATGCAGATACTGTCGATCTTCTTCTTGAAGCCGGCGCAAGTCTTGATGCGGTTGACTTTGACGGGAATACACCTCTGCACGTCAAATGCTACGGAGAAACTGGCGAGCCTACTGATCTCGAATGCATTGAAAAAATGTTGATGAAGGAAGCACCGTTGACAATAAGGAACGAAAGGGGACTGATGCCTGTTCATTGTTGCGCTATGCAGGGAAGGATTGACGCKATCAATGCTCTTATGTTCTTTGATACTGAAGGGAAAGTTAGATTGAGTCTCGAGATGGAAGATGAGACAACACYTCCGAGTCTACCTCATCTGGCCATCGCAAACGATCATCTTGATTGCGCTGCGTGGTTGGTGGAAAAGAATTTCCAATTCAAGGAAAATGAGACTGACATCCTTGTTCATAAGATTTTACTAGAGCAGGTCCCTTGCACGAAACGCATGGAAACAATTCGTTTCCTGCTRGAGCAAGGAGCTTCAGTTAACCCGTCATATCCCGCGGGAAATACGGCTCTGCATCTYACTGCGGGATTGTCCAACGCGTCGGACGTCTTGGAGYTGTTTCTATGCTTTGGCGCGGATGTAGACGCTGTTAACGAGGATCTTTGTTCACCGTTGTTCTACGCAACACAGGCCAACAACATGTTTGCTGCAAGTGTGCTGATAGAACATKGCGCWAATGTGCGATCACGAAACTTGCAGGGTCTAACAGCWTTTGATTTTATCACAGACTTTGAAGAATGGATCGATTGTGGTTATTTCAGTGAAGAGATCAAGGCAAGACTGAAGGCTTATAGTCTGAAGCATGCTAGAGACTTGGTACGAGCGATAACTAAGAAGGTTCAAAGTGTAAGCCAGTATTCGAATTCATTGAGACAGTCCTATCCTGCATTTATGCCTCAGACAAGTAGTGATAGAAGAGCACTGGTATTACCTCCCATTAACAAGAATTCATCTTATTAAAAGTCCCTAGTCCTATCCTGGATTTATACATCAGAAAGTAGTGACCGGAGAGCACATTGAAAACGTTAGTTACAAATTAATCAGAATTTTATCAACCAACTTTTTTTTTTTCTTTTTTTACAATCAGCTAACTTAACAAACAGGTAGAGATAAAGGACACAGGTGCCCTAATTTAAATAAAATATCTTTCTCAGCCCCTTCTTTTTCAAGAAGGGGTTAAGAAATCTCTCGCGCACATCATTGTTTTCTTCRAATAAAACAGATTGTTTTCTCGAGATTGCATGCGAATTTATTCTCCATGTCCGGTCACATGATGCTCTTACCCTGAGCCCGCGTTCCTTTTGGTCTTCGAACCGRAACCGACTTTTAAAGACTACTTCCATTTTCGCGGTCTTGGTAGCTTTCTACTTCAGTTTTAGCYAATCAGAAAACGGGAGAAGTGAAATATGCCAAGAGCTCTTCATTTCTTGTGGAGACCAAACTGAACGAGGCCTCGAGACCACTTTGAACAACGATGGTTTCAACGCGGAGAAAACGAATACACTCAATTGAAGAATTGTTGTCGGGTTCAGAAACRTAGAACATAAAAGCTGAGACCGAAATGGCACATGGGAAATGACATAATTATATTATAATTTATTCATTTGCGCCATCCATGCAGTCTGTTTAGAATGCCAAACGTGTATTAAAAACAGTGGATGATGCCACAGATCGCCGGTCACAGCATGCATCTAGTTAACGTACTTCCCATGTGTCATTTCGGTCTCAGCTTCTAYRTTTTATGTTTCTGAACCCGACAACGATTCTTCAGTTGAGTGTATACGGATACGTAAAAAGACTAATGGAAAAATTAAAAATAGACTGCTTTCCTATTCGTATAACAAATATTTACCCTGACAGAGTATCCCTTAATACGATTGCTCGTTTTCCATCGTTGGATATCGAGCGCGAGAGAGCCTCGTGCTTGGACCAGAACAAGATCTGAATAAAAACATTAAAAAATGGTTATTTCTATCAGTACCGGTTGCCGGGTCATCAAGCAACAACAACAACGACAAAAAAAAGAAAACAAAAAAACCAAACAACCAAAAACAACCAAAAAAATAAACAAACAAAAACAACAGCAAACAAAAAAGCAAAAAACAACAACAAAAACAAAAAACGACAACATCGAGAGCAAGCAAATATACTGAAAAATGAACAAACTGAGCTGAAATACTGATCTATTTACCATCTAACTAAAATTAGCTTAATCAGTACTGCCGAGCTAACTACATAATAATCATTATGATTCTTATTTTCATCATCTTTATATTATTATTATTATTATTATTATTATTATTATTATTATTATTATTATTAGTGGCCGTCGTCATCGTCATCAAGCGCGCATCATCATCAAGTAACTAACTAATTATTTAGCAACACGCTCGTTCTCCCGATAGTTGCATCGACTTATTTTTCATAGCGTAAAAGAAGCGATTGGGAAGAGTCTGTAAATGACTGCAAACGAATTCAGTCAACCCGAAAGAAAAAAAAATAGTACCTTGTCTTTAATGGGAACCCCTCCGGTGAATTTTAAGAATTTCTCGTAGTTCTGTTCTRTTAACGTACAAGGGTCTTTGGAAGCAAAGGCACCGAGAAAATGTTTCAAGGCCTCTTGACAAAATGCTTCTCTCTCTTCAAGTCCAGGTACCTTATCAAGCAGGCCTAACGATGCGTATCTATCAAGGTACTCGAAGCAACGACCTAAAACAATTCTTTTTAATCCTTTGGTTGTTCCTGTGTATTTACCACGAGCGACACCAAACCACAACAGCACGAATGCAAGGATCACTCTCATCATGCAGCTTATTTTCGTTTCTGAAAGAAAGTATGGCCGTAGATGGCCAGTCGGTAAAGTAAACACACACACACAMAAAGGAAAAACAGTGTGGGGGAGTGGAAGAAAAAAATAAGTTTTACAATATGATTTTCTTTAGATAAAATAAAAAATAAAAATTTAAAAAAAAAAAATTAAAAATAATATATACTGCACTTGGTCCCTTAAAAGGTGCAGTCTAGTGATGCGCTGAGACCAATCTAACCCAACCCAGCCTATAATAAAAACAATCGAGCACCGTACGAAATCYTTAACCGTTCATTGTTAGGTCAAAATACGCTAGCTATATTGGCGCAGAGACAAGGGCATTCATTCTTCATCTTTTCTGTTTTCAAYAAAAACTCGACTAAACCCCACGACTTAAGAGAGAAACTGACCCAAAAACCTCTACGGACACGTGATGCCAAATTTTATACGAAGTAGAAAACGTACCTTGAATGGTGATATTAGTCTGCTCGTAGCCCTGTTCAGTAATAAACGATATATCTAAAGCTACCTGTKAAAATATCAAATTTAGATCACTATGACATAAATGGCATATTTTTAGCAACAGCTAACTTCATTAAACTTTCGAMCAATAACACTGTGCCTAATGAAGTGAAAACGATTGTAAGCGTATAGCGCATGCTCCAGAGTTACGTCATCTTCAAAACAGGAATCTGGAAGCAAAAATGGTGGATTTGTTTCGGCACTTCAAAGGAAATAAAAAATCCTTGGGAAAAAATATTTGATAAAAGTGGCACAAACTTGAGTTACGTTTTTTCGTTAAAAAACTTTGAAGTATTTTCTACGGTTTTATTTATTATTCATTAATTACATGATTTTGGTATCAATCAAAACCAGAAAACAAAAAAACCATACTCCGAATGACATCAAAACGCCATTACCCGCGCTTTGCTATTCGTTTGCCGTTAACGTTTTTGTGTACCTGGGCATTYTACAACTACATCCGTTTTAGTGAATGCGATTCATCGGTGTTATTAAAAAATGCATTCAAAATATTGAGAAAATGATATCATTTCAAACTAAATTTTTTAATTGAATGYTTTTTGGAAAAAAAAGTTAATATTTTTAATCCATTTTTAACCGTTAAGCCACACTAAGGAACAATTAGCGAACATTGTTGCTAAACGCAGGTGACAGAGTTTTATTTCTAATTACTTTTTTATAAACTATTGGATCAAGTGTTATTTGGAATGAATGCATGGAAATGAGTTACATTAATTAGGGAAAAAAGATTTTCTGGCCTCATGTAATGGAAATTAAATTTTTGGGAGGAAAAAAGTTATAACTGCCAAGAGTTAACGAAGCTGTCCCGAAAAACTGCAAAAGTTATAAAAGTGAAGGTAGAATTTTATTCAATACCTGTAGCATTGTCTGGGTTGACCACGCATGCGCATTTGAAATACGAGTTGCTACTACGCTCCGTTGGCTATGTTCACTATTTTGTTTTAGGATCCGTTTTGAGAATATAGAAACGATGATGAATGATGCAGTTCAAAGAGCTACAGTTTTCTAGACTGTGATTTATCTTTATTTATTCATCTACATCAACATCATCATTATCGCCAACATCACCATCACCAATGATCTTCATCATCAACAATAACAACATCATCACCATGCGCCCCATATAAGGGAATCCGGAATCCACGAAATTTTAGGCTTTGGAATCCGGAATCCAGCACTTTGGAATCCGGAATCCAGGCATTGGAATCCGGAATCCAGTTTATAATGGAATCCGGAATCCACCCTTTTGGAATCCGGAATCCACTACTTTGAAATTCAAAGTATACACTCAAATGCTATCGCCTCGACCTAGACTGAACCGATGTAGCCCCTCCTCCACTGTGTAATATGTCCACCAAGAATATCTGTCATCGGATGCGGATTTAATTGATAGACGATTCTACTTATACTGGCAAGTATATCAAATATRATTTTCAGAGAAAGTATCTGAAAATTAACAATATGGAATCCGGAATCCGCAATATAAAAGTTTTGGAATCCGGAATCCACCATAAGTCCGCGACACCATGATTATATCACCACCACCACCAGATACGATGGCTATCGTTTTATCCTAGACAAAACGGTGTGAAGATCATGATTGTCTGATCTGTGCCTCCCGCATGGATTCTTCCATCGGCGACAACCAGCTCATCAACGGCTGCGTAATCCCAGAAGGATCCGTCACTCCGACTGGACCATACTGATCATATGCCCTAGCGTTCTCTACGTTTTGGCACACGACGGGTATCTTTGGTTTTCTAAATATCAGAGAATAAAAGAACTCCACAAAGCTTCCCCTCGTTGCAATATTCATGAAAAGAAGCAGTTTATCAATGTGGTCGAACTTGGCCGGYCGCTTAATTTTACCGACCAGGACCGTTGTATCGTAGGTAAATAGACTCAGATTCCGCAAWAAATACGACCACAGGGTCGACATATACAGGTAATAAGTGAAAACAGCCAGTTCATGCTTTGAACGAAGTAGTCTTTCAAGGTGTCGTTTGACTGTAATTTTCTCAATAAACTTGAGAGCACAGCAAAACAAGGTCAACGTTGATATTTCGAGCAGTAAACTTACTCCAATGCCTGTAACGATCTTGTCCTTGGAGAAATCAAGAGACGCGACAGAAAGGAAAGTAAAAACTATCATAATTGACCAGAACCAGAAGATTGGCAGACGATACAAAGCACTGATAAAATTACAGCTTGAAAATCGGCTCCAGAAAAGGATGGTCAATATGTAGAGAAAAGTACTTCCGCTTTCGAGTATTGTTCCACTCAAATCCAACACGTTTTTTACATCCTGTGAAAATGTTATATTCCCACATTTTTCTATGATGACTCGGTGTTTTAAGCAGTCGACAGAGGGCACCAGGAAAAGAACCGTGAATGATAAACGAAAGAGAAGCAGAAGGAAGAACAGGACAGCTAGAGGAAGGATATACACAGCGGCCATGTTGTCGTGACTCGAGACCAGTCGAACTCGAAACATTTCCAAGAAATCACGCCCCCCCCCCCCAAAAAACAAGCTATTCCAAGAAAAACAAAGACTTTTCGTATTTTAGTATACAATAAGTCGACAAAATGGCGCTATATATAAAAATACTAGGAATTATTACAGYTATTCTTGGAGCAACGAGAGTGATTTTTGACTTCCTGAACTTTATTTCAGCGGCTTATTGTGTATACAAGAATCACACTGTGGAAAAATGTCCTTACAATCATTTTCCACCGTCTATAAACGTTATCGGAGCAGGAATGGAATCTTTTAACTCACTGGCACTTCTCTTGGCGTTATTTTTGTGGGGACGCTTTAACGTTAAGAAATATGCCCTCGCACTATCTCGAGTTGGACATTTTTGGGTCTGGTTTGTACTTTGCATTTGTTACATTTGTTCCAACTTTGTGGTAAAATCTGTCGAAGCGCGAGATTCAAAAGGGAAGCTATCGTACCTCGGAGTGTTTAGTGTTTTAGAAATGATAATGTTAACTTTCCTGGCATCAGCCATAAACTTCGTAGCTAGAGAGACGTACCAGTTCTGGATTGAACAGAATATAAACTCTGCCAAGTGGAGAAGATTMTTTGATCATCTTTATTGCTTTATTCTCTTCACGTATGTGGTTAGAAATGCTGGTTTGTTTTTGTACGACACAGCGTTGGTGTCTTTGAGCATTTCTATCATTAAAGGAACAACAACCACCACTGGGGAGTGGGATAGTCTTCTCCTAGTGTTGAATGCTGCGTTTAGAGGAAGTTTTGTGAAGTTCTTCTTCGCCAAAGTGTTCCAAGGACAGGACTTGCCGAAGGTAAGGGGCAACTCATTTACTTATGGGGGAGGGGTAGGGAAATGCGATATGGATGGTAACATGAACATGCAACGAGATGACAGAGGCTTTTTACCACGGGCAGTGAAATAAAGTCCAAGCTGGCCGACAAGGTGCTTGTAAATGGGGTGATAAAACCAAAGGGRTTCTGCTTAAATGCAAAAGTAAACTTGGGATTTAAACAAAAAATCTTAAGGAAAATTGGGCTTCCTGTGTTTTTAAGAGTGCACAGGGTTTCTTCGAAATAAGTAATAGAATGGGAGTAAATAGATCTTATTAGACATTTTAGGGTGTAATACAGGTTGATATTTTTTCGATCCTGGAGCTGTATTTTGGCAAGTCTGATAGGGAGAGACAACATACAAAGACGAGAAAAAA